ACCACACCCAATCCACTGTAGGGCACTGCCGGCATTTATCCACTCCATGTTGTCTTTTAAAACGTGAACGGAACATTTCTTGTTACCGTCATTGAAGCAAACCCAGTATATTAGCTTTCACCTTCCATCACTGTCACACAGAACAATTGTTGTGTGTCACTTATGAATTGAATTAAAAGGGTAAATTCAATACTAAGGTGCTATACAACATAGGCTTGTTTTGCAGAAAAAGAACCAGTCAAATCGGGAAAAAGAAATCTGCACAAAACCCCCTCTTAAAATATAATTTAGGTATGACTTTACCCATGTCAATCCAGGAAAAGCATTGGAGCATGATCCTCCTTCCTTAAAGGATTTTCTATTTTAAAGAAAATTTTACATCCATAAAACCCCCAGGAAAATCATAATTAAACCACCCCATTCTCAATCACTAAGAAACAGTATTCTGCTCATTATTCTGAGTTACCATAACCACATTAGATTCTTGAAAGATTTTTTACTTCTAACAGCAGTAAAAATTAAGTAACAAAACTGTGAAAGCTGAGAGCATTTAAACATATATAAAAAGTGTTGATTAAGTTCTGCATGCATTATCATGTTATGAGTAGATCAATCACAACTTTTAGATCTCGGCAACCAACATTTACTAACTCTTGGTGACTGTTGATCTAAGAGCATACAGTGTCAATGTGACCTTGTTCAAAGGGACACTATGCTCTGTAACATACTGCACTCACATTAACTCTCTATCTGAAAGATGTATGCATCATTTCTGTTTCAAAAAGTCTCAGATATAGAGCTATTGAACATGTGCCTAAGTTAAACATTTGATTAAGTGTTTTATATGGCACAGACTTTAATAGTTAGCGTACTATTTCAAATGCGTTTTCAGAGTCTGTTGACTCTGAAAACAATTCCAAAGTAAATTTTGCATTGATACAAGAAATTACATTTTAAAATGTAATCTTGTCCTTCACTTCCAGACTGATATCTGAACTCCCAAGAGGACTTCCACCACAGATTCAATGACCACTAACCTTTCTCCAAACTACCTCTAGCATACTATTGCACCAATAGTAACTTCTTAGACAGGAGAGTCAACATCAAATATTGGTAATGGCACCTTTTTCAACCCCCTCAAAAGTGAGGTCAAATAGATGCTATACACTGCTAGGTAATTATTTTATTCCATCATTTCTAAAAGCATAATCCTTGTCAAATAGCAGACTTCCAAACAAGCAGGCACCAAAGATTGCCCATACAAGAATCAGGAAGCCAGTTAGAGCAGAAGTTCCAAAACATTGGGCCCTGCTAAAATCTACAGATTAGCACTAACTCATAACCTACAAGATCCTATCAAATACAAAAAGAGTGAGTAGCAACAGTCTTGCTTGGTCTATTAGTTTAAGTAGTCTGTTGGAGAATTAAAAACAACAACAGGTGAGAACATCCTATTCAGAAGTGCAATATTTAAACTGATGATTCCCATGTCACATATAACTCTTCCTGAGGAACAGGAAGCAGCAGAAACCTCCTGATCCTCAGGGCTTCTGCTACAGAATGCACATCACCAAACTCTTATCTGGAAGCAAAGTCTTTTCCTGCACATTTTAACATGTCACTTAGTACTGATAAATTTTCTCTTCTTACTGTACAAAACCTCAAAAATATGGCTCAAACAAAATACGCTTCTATGTAAAAAGGGAGTATAAGTTTTATTTCTATTCATAAGTCACTCTTTTAGTCAAAGCTCTTTTTCAACCTTTTTCAGTCTAAATAGCTATAAGCTTCAAAACTTGTCCCAAGCACTTCATCTAAAAAGCTCGCGCTCCAACATAAACCACCACTAAGAAATTCTCATTGCTCTTTCAAAAATCTTTGGGCAGGAGGGTTTATATTTTAGCAAGACAGTTCAACGCATTTACCATTCGGGCAATAAAAGACAATCTCTCTCTCAACACTGCTACAGTGGTCTGACCGTTTGCACTAAAGTTTTCACATTTTAATGCTATTTTTAAACTTGAATCCTTCAGTATACTGCTACTTAAGATGTGAAGTAAGAAAGAACAGTTTACTTCCAAAGGAGGTAAGTCAGAAAAAGTCCTCACACATGAATTACAGTTGCCTTACTAAAAGTCCTCCACCCACAAGTTTCCTCTCACATTCTTGCACCTTTCTCTAGTACCAATCCAGTCGTCTCTAACAATTCCAGTGAAAGCAGATCAATACATGTATTTAACATAATCAGCTCTTCACGTAAAGTTTCTGTTGAGGCAAAATACGTTTTTTTGAAAGAGAACTGATAGGAAGACTCCTTCATCCTCCCTGTACCTAGAGTCCATAAAGCCTTTCAAATCTAGTACTACAGCAAATACTGTTGAGATAAACCAATGAACGCTGAATTCTTCATCTTGGGGGGGTTTTCCATTTCCTTGAAGTAGACAAAATTTGCATTTTCCATTTTCCCCTAATCTGCATATCATTGGATAAATGGATTGCTCTGTTTCTTGTATGAGCTGCCACAAAAAACCTGCGAAGAAAACTGAGCAGTGAGACAACTGTCTGTGGGACTTCCCACAAAGTGGTAAGCATTCCCACGAGCCAAGGCAGAAGCCTGGAAAGGAAGCAACCCTCTGCTCTGAGCACAAGGAAGTAATTTCCTACAGTTTCATGAAGCACAACATTTTGTGAGATGCATCTTGTAGCATGCAAATATACATCCGTTATCTAGTTCAGATGATCTAGTTTAAAGTATATGATCATGAAGGTGAGGACTGCAGAACTGTTGTTCGGGCTGCTGGATATCTGTATTCTGTGGTGAATGTTTTCACTGCATCATTACAGCATCTGTTTGACAAAATCCTTCGGGAAACCGTTGCTGTTTACAATTTAGCAGACTATCAAGACTGCTCTGTAGGCTCACAGGCGAAATTAACACACAAGAATAGCTTGCTTTGAAAGAGCTTTCTTAAATTTCACAGTAGTGGGGAAGAGAACTGCTACACAGCTCCTAGACTGACACTTCTCCAGTTTCCATCCATGCTATAAACCTCATCCCCTGGAATGAAGTGAAAACATAGATTCTGCTAGCTGAAAGACTGAATACACAGCATAAAGCAGCAAATACAGGATTATTCTTTTTGAACTACTGTCATTGTGTCACTCTTTGAAGTCATATACCAATGCCTCTGCTCACAGGGCTGGGCATCTGGGCACATACTGGCAGATAAAAGGTGGCAAGGCCACAAAAAAATAAGTAATGCTGTGGCCCACATGGATCCCATAGGTTGGATTTCAGTTGAAAAATTGTATTGTAATTCTTAAAATACAGCAGTTAGCACCAGTAGGAACATAGGTATGGCAACTGACAACATTCGAACATTCTGTATTTCAAAATTTTTTTTGTGTTTTAGAAGAGCATGTATCAGAAGAGGATTCATTTATTAATGAAAAATTTCTAGTCCTAGCATATGTACGATACACAACATCTTTTTCTTCTTCATTAGTTCTAGTTCATTTTACTATATGCCCCATTGCTGCATAAAGATAGAATGTGCTGGGGGAACGCTGCTAATTAGCGCTTTGGGTATAAACAAACTGGTAGCTACCAGAAAGCATGGCAACCAGTTCCCCATGATCCCATTTAGAAAAGTTCTGGTCCCCTTCCTGATTCTGAATACAGAATAAGAACATTATCTGTATATATCCAAATAACCACCAAATCACTCTTCGACCTTAATAAAAGGAAATGTGGACTAAAATATTTCTCCCAGCTGGCTACCATTGTGCACCAAAATCCAATAATGAAAAACTGACAGACTAGATACTATATCCACTTCGTTACTTCTAGAAGCATCCTTCTGAATATTGTAAAGAATTCACATGTATGTGAAAACAATTGCATGCAAATATAAGACTATGATAAATACTGATTATTAAAAAAATCCAGAAAACATGTGGGATTCATTTAGTTTTTATGAGATTAGCAGACTGGCCAAACCATGGACAACACATCTCATTCCTGCATTCAATAATCAAGTTACATCCATCTATCAACAAAAATTTAGACACAAACAAAAAACCTCATTAAAAATTGATTAGTATCTGCCAACAGGAAAGCAGAGCCATTAGGACTAAACCAGAATTCTATAGAACAGGATTAGCACTAAATACAACAATGAGGCTGAACCTAACTAACAATATTCCACATCATCTGCAACAACTTACCAAGAAAGTTTTTCCTTCACGGGTCTTGTTTAATACAAATATACTGTATCTTTTAGCAAATATCAGGGTGTGTGCTGAAAAATAACTCTGCCTAAATGTGGCAACTATCACCACGAATCTCACTGGTAGTAAAACTAATGATCGGAAAAAAGACAGTATTTGCAACTTTTATCATTGTCCCTAGCTACAATGAAACCAATACAAGGAGAGCAAACCAGCACTGTAAAATGAAATGTAGTCAGTATTTAATCCTATGAAGAACTGCCCCCTCAAAAAAACAAACCCAAAAGCAAGTGTCCTTTAATACAACCTGAAAATGTAATCAGTTTAAACACATAGACCGGACACTGATAAAACACAAAACCACACGCATTCAGGAAGACAAGACAACCAACGAAACCAAACACCCAAAACCCCAAATGAAAAACAATCACCCTTTTGTAAACTGAAATTATAACCAAATGTTTGAAAAAAATGAAATGACTAAAGTAGTTACTGCAAAATCAAATTGTCTCTGAGAACAAAAACATTCATTTTTACAACTACTTAGAAACACATTTGTATTAAAAAAGGCCAGATGGAAGTACTTCAGGACATCATAGACCACAACTTTTACAACTTCAGTTTCAATTTGCATATTCAGATAAAAAACCGCCACTTTACAATAGTGGATGTGAATGCAATTGTATATGTATGTATGTACCTACATCTATATATCTATCTGTGGAGGTCACGTGTGACCTCACTGCTACTAAAGCTGAGGAAAAACTCACCTTGTGACAAACTTCTGATTTTATTTCTTTGAGAGCACGTTCAGAGAACACACAGCCACAGTTTCTCAAGAAACAAAACCTTCAGAGAAAAGACAACAAGACATACAATCTTTTTTAAGAAACCCTGCGTCTAAAAGATATATGTACAGTTCTGATTTAACAGAGGAACAATACTGCAAGGGGCTAGCAGGACACAGTTAACTTTCTCTTTACAAATTCTTGCAGCTAATCAAAGTATCAGCACCTTTAAGTAGGCATTTCTTAATTTGCACAATGTAAGAATCAAATGAAAAATACTGAGTACATTAAACCACAACACGTATTTTGTCACTTCATTCTCCATATAATTCAGCACAGGTTTACGAGAGTCTCTTAAGGGGATCTTAGCAAAACCGAAGCTCGAGATGTTTTTGTACATTTGCTATAGGTCTACACAGGCTTCTCTGGAATCATCACCACAATCTGGTTTACTACAAAGTTATACCATTCGAATGGTTCCACCTTCCACCAAGCTTATCGGTTTCGCATACTCTGACTCAAGCGCTCCAGCAAAGCTGTGCCAAGCGACCCTAGACAGCGTCTGCTCTCCCATGTCTCTCCTGTCCACGTGAAGATTCTTGCAAGACTAAGTGAAGCAATTATGCATACGGTTCACGTGATCTCCCCTTCCTGAGAGCTACTGTTAATCCTTTCCTATCACCCTCAACTGAATTAAAAAACACTAAGGTGGCTCTGGTAAAAATGGGTTCACTTTTCAGGTTCTCTCTTTAATTCCACCTGAATCATAGAATTGTTTAGGTTCATCAGGTCCAACCATTAACCCAGCACCGCTAAACCATGTCCCTCAGCACCACATCTACAAGTCTTGTAAACACCTCCAGGGATGGTGACTCCACCACTTCCCTGGGCAGCCTGTTCCAATGCTTGGCAACCCTTTTGGTGAAGAAAATTTTCCTAATATCCAATCTCAACCTCCCCTTGCACAACCTGAGGCCATTTCCTCTTGTCCTGTCGCTTGTTATTTGGGAGAAGAGACCGACCCCCACCCAGCTACAACCTCCTTTCAGGTAGCTGTAGAGAGTGATCAGGTCTCCCCTCAGCCTCTTTTTCTCCAGGCTAAACAACCCCAGTTCCCTCAGCCGCTCCTCATCAGGCTTGTGCTCCAGACCCTCGTTCACTTTGTTGCCCTTCTTTGGACATGCTCCAGCACCTCGATGTCCTTCTTGTAGCAAGGAGCCCAAAACTGAACACTGAACTCGAGGTGTGGTCTCAGCAGCGCCAGGTACAGGGGGACAGTCACTGTCCTGGTTCTGCTGGCCACACTGCTTCTGATACAAGCCAGGATGCTGTTGGCCTTCTTGGCCACCTGGGCACACTGCTGACTGAATATCTGCCGGCTAATCACTCTCTGCAGGAAGAAATACTGTGCAACCATCAAGCTGTGAACCCGGCCTCTTTTCATTCATCAGAAAAAGAAATTGCTAATTTGTCCAAACCAGGATGCAAAGAAATGTCCTTCCTCAGCCCAGTAAAAAATAGATACTATAGCAGGATTAGAACAGATGTACAGTCCATCTCCATTCTGATCTTAACACAGTGGGAGGTAGAATTGCTTGATGAGACACAAAGGGAGGTCTCATCTGACTTCCCTCTGCTTGCCCATACCAGTCTCCCATGGTTTAGCCCCCAAACAACTTGTAGTCACCTATTCTCTGCAAATGTTGCCCTTGACCTCTTTATTATACATATAAATTCATTTTGGAAAGGGTTAACTTTTTATCTTTCCTCTTGAACATGAAATGAACGGATAGTTCAGTAGTCTCCTGAACTCCTTTAGTAAAGGAGGGCCTGACTAAGTACGTGATTTGCAACATTATCGATTCAAACACTTTTACTTGCTCTATGTTCAGTTTAGCATAGTACTTGCCTCTAAAAACAAAATCCAGAAACTTACTGACCTGTGTCTTCCGTTCATTTCCAATCCCACCACAGGGCATATAAAGCGTGCAGATTGGATGTCATCATATTTGTCACCTTTTATACTCTCTTTATCACCACTCCAAGCTGGATTATCTGCAAGGTTCAGTTCTGTTACATTCTGCAAAACAAAAATGCAAGCCTTCAGCTGTTTACTGATATTTCTGAGCCATGATAACATTCCCTAAGATTTTTTCACCGTGGTTTACTAATTTTAACCCTTTTAGTATATCGTGAGAACACAAGCAAATTGGGGTTTTGTAGCATGTTTTAATGTTCATGGCACTCTTTAACGTTAGACACCACCTGTTTACCTTAATGCTCTTGATATGTGACGCAGCTTCCATAGGCGTTTTATCAGCTGACTTGTCCAACAAAAATTCAATGATGGCATCTTTATTATACAACCTGCAACATAAAATTTTCAGTAGTCATATTTGATTCTCATAGCATTCTTTTATTTATAAATTAGTACCTTTTAATATAACGGTCTTTATGGAACCATTCATACCTGCCTAGCTCACAGGCTACTATTGGCCGACATAACTTCTCTTGACTCAGAGCGCAGTAGTGCCATCTTGCCACCAACTCAGCATTTTTGTCAACCTGAAAAAAAAAAAAAACCTCATGATTTTAAAATAGCTTTTATATTTGCAAGTTATTTAAACATAAAATCAAGTAATACTTGAAGCACTAATCAAATCCCCAGGTATCTTACCAAACCTACTTTCTGCATTCAAAGCTATTCTGTAAAATAACTTCAGCAAAACCTTTTAGCAAAATTCATGACCAGTTTCGAGGGTCTGCCTCTATCTATTGAACATGTTTCTGCATCTTGGGACCCATCTTCCTAACTCTAGCTCAGTTTTCTTATTTTTTGCCACTTCCGCCTGACCTTTCCCTCTTTATTCTTTTTCTGCTCTTCACCTGTTCTCAACTACCCTCTTCTCTCTAGTTCTACACCTCATCCCTGCTTGGGTTAACTACCAGTTCCACTCCCTACAAGGAATATGAAAACCAGAAAAGCTGATCTGAGATGTCAGGATGCTACCTGAAGCTCCAGTCTAAACACATGAATTTTATTACACATTAGGCCATAAAAGAAAGGTTGAGGTTCATAGCTACTCTGATAGTCAGGGGGAGGAAATGCATTTTATTTACTTACTTTACATCAGCAAATGTAATTTGCCTAAGTTTTCTGCCCCCTGCTGTGAGATTTTTCCCGACCTTCATCCACATATCCACACGTGTGATGCCACGGTACATCCACTACCCTAAACCACCCCAAAACGAGAGCCCAAGCAACACTCAGAATGGAAGCAGACAGAACGCGGAAATGGCCACGTTTGACACCACCGACAGTCTGGTCACGCTATTAACAACCTAACCAAAGCAGACCCCGTATCCCGAGGTGAGGGAGGCCCCAACCCCCGCGTTCAGTGGAATGACTGCTGCCCCAGAGCCCCCCAGAACACCACGGCATCTCTGCTGTAGCT